CTGATTTTTTTATTTATTGTAGAGATGAGGTCTCGCTGCCCAGGCGGGTCTCGAACCCGTGGGCTCAGGCAATTCACTCACCTCAGCCTCCCAAAGCCTCGGGATTACAGGCTGAGCCACCGAGCCCGGCAAAAAAATTTTTTTTAAGTTTAACAAAATCTTTTGTTCCATGTTTTTGCTATTGGGAATAGTGCCCCATCTTTAAGATAACAAATATATTTTTTTGTTTGAAAAAAAGGCAATATGCTTTCTATTAGGGTAATTTGCCTAAGAAACCAATAGGAGAAAACTGATCAGTAACCACATAACTTGTATGACACTAAATCATTACTGTGTTAGAAAAAAGTCCCGAAATAATGATAAAAACTGAGAATTATTTTAACCCCAAAAAGATTAAACACAAATTCACATCACGTCTCATCCTCTCCTACCCATATCTCAGCTCTGAAGGCTTGACTACAGTTTAGAAGTATCTTTTATCATCATTTGCTCAAATAACACAGCATTTTTATTTCCTTAATATTAACCCAGGATGATCTCATATAGATTTCAATTTTCCAATAATTTTAATTGACTTTTTTTTCTTATTAACCAAAAGAGAAATTCTTATCTTCATTTCATTATTATCATTCTGTCTTTGTACTTGTAGACTCACATCATTTGTGAGTCTCATTCTTGGACACAGTCTTCAAGGTCCTTATAAATGTACATTTGGAAGTTTCAAGAGGCTAGATCTCATGTTATATGTGTGTTTTTTTTTAATCATACACACACATACCCTGTTGTATTAGGGGTGGCCAGTAAGTAAATAAGTATTTAAAATAGAGAGTGACTGATGATACAGGAGAAGTAAGTACCAGATACTGTGGAGGGACAGCATTTGCTGGGGATGCCTGGCCCATCCTAGAGGAAGTAAGCACCAGGAAGCCTTTTTCTGACAGAAGTGACTGCTGAGTTGAGTTGATACGTTCGTAAGAACGAGACCTTCCCATTTTGACTTCCCCAAGCACTAGGATTACAGGAGTGAGCCACTGTGCCTGGCCTCAGCTCTGCATTTTGGTGGCCAGTTTGACTGGTCTTCAAAATCCCTTCTGGTTGGGACTCCAGAACTGGGAATGGGCACGGGCAGTGTCCATCAAGTCCCAGTGCTGACTGGGGAGTCTGAGATAGTCCCCAGCTCCCACCCCAGCCCCAGATTTAGAGAAATAAATGAATCTCCTTAAGGGAAGAATTGTCCTTGAAACATTTATTCTCTTTGCCTGTACCTATTGGGACAGTTCAGGAAACTCACAGGGGGGTTATCTTTGCTCTCTACTTCCTGTTGCATTCTCAGCCTTGTTCCCTTTTTAGAAATAGTGCATTAACTCTCATATAGCTAAAAAACTGCATTCTGTACACTGCCCTGGGACTTCCTGATCCTCCTATTCTTATAAATACAAGGGCAGGGCTGAGGTCCTGGTGAGCCAGGAGGAAGTGAGCCCAGAAGTCCTCAGGCCAGCTCTGACTGCCTACTGGAAGAATGAAGGTCTCCACAGCTGCCCTCTCCTTCCTCATCCTTGTTGCTGTCCTTGGATCCCAGGCCCAGGTCATATATGGTGAGTCCAGTGGGCATTCTCACATGTCACCCAGTCCATGATAACTCAAGGTCTGGGGAGCAAACACAGAAGGACACCATGGCCCTCCTGTGACTACTCTCCATTCCAGACATGGTTATGGCACTTATTTAAAAGCAGCAACAGGGTATAAACCTGGCTCTGTCTGCAGGCTTCTGTCCCTGGGGGAAAATGTACAGAGATGATAGGTCCCATTTGGGGTCAACTATCTCTCTCTCTCTCTCTCTCTCTCTCTCTCTTTTTGAGTTGGAGTCTTGCTCTGCCACCCAGAATGGAGTGCAGTGGCATGCTCACGGCCACTGCAGCCTTGACCTGCTGAGTTCAAGCAATCCTTTCACTTCAGTCTTCCAAGCTGCTGGGACTACAGGCATGTGCTACCATGCCTGGCTAATTTTTGATCTGTAGTAGAGACAAGGTCTCACCAAGCTGCCCAGGCTGGTCTCAAATCCCTAGGCTCAGGCAATCCTCTCACCTTAGCCTCCCCAAATGCTGGGATTATAGGATTGAGTCACCGTGCCCAGCAATTATTTCTCTTTTTACAGTCAAAATGAGTGGATACATTCTTAGTTGACTTTTTAGCTATATCATAATTAAATTATAAATTTATGGAAAGAAGTACATAATTCTATGATGCTAGAATTGTTACATACCATCTAGTGTAAAACTATCATTTTGGAAAGCAAAAGGGACCAGCCAGAAAGCGGCTCGCCCAAAGTGATTATCTCATTTGTACCTGTGAAATTTTAACTTATGGAAGTGACTGAGTGTCAACATGGAAAGGTCAATGCCATTATAAGAAAAGAATTGATTGTCAACATTTTCTAAGAGAAGGAAGTACACCCTGCCTTGCCAGACCGCAGGGAAAGCATCAGGTTTTGGTCAAAAGGCATAGGCGGGAGGGAGAGAAAACCTATGCCAGAGTCTTTATTGGGTGTTCTGAAGAAAAGAAAAGACAAGACAGGGTAAAGCAATGTATGCAGCTTGGGACTGGGTAGTTTGAATAAGTCCAGAAGGCTTTGGGATATAGGAATGATCTCTAGTTGCGTGGTACCTGGCCTTGGGATGATTTAGGGCAGGGGAAACATTGACTTGGTGTGTGAGAGTTAGATAAAGGAGGTGGTCGAACACATGGGCTCAGGATTCGTTGATTTGTATATAAAAGACCTGAGCACTTTGCTGTCTCTATGAATTGGCAAGGCCTGGAGGGACAATGTCTCCCCAGCTGTCAAGATTTCTTAAATGTCAAAGAATCATAAGATGCAGGAAATACAAAACATAATTAACACTGTCACCTAACTTTTTTTTTTAGTCAGGACCTCACTCTGTCATCCAGGCTGCAGTGCAGTGGCATGATCGCAACTCACCACAGCCTGTAACTCCCAGTCTCAAGCGATCCCTGTCAACTCCCCCTTCCTCCCCCAGTAGCTGGAATTACAGGCATACACCACCATGCCCAGCTAATTTTTTTTTATTTTTTGTGGATACAAGGTTTTGCTATGTTGCCCAAGCTGACATTCTATTTTTTTAGTCTAACAAATGCGTTCCTAGTACTTTCTATGTGCCAGGCAGCTATTGTTCTAAGTGCCTTAGAGATAGTAACACACTGATTCCTCCTAATAATCCTTGGGGTGGGCATTAGGTTGAGCAAATGTAAATCTGTCATTCTTGTAGGAGAAAAAAAAGTAGGACATGAGCAATTTTATATATTTTGCATATTATTACTATTATTCTCATTTTGCAAATGAGAAAACTGGGGCATACAAACCTTAGATGACTTGCTCAAGACCACACAGCTAGTCAGTGGAGTTAGGATATGAGCTAGTTAGAAGGTAGTTAAGGAAAGACAAGGCCATTTAAGGTTTTCTTTCTTTTTTTTTTTTTTGCAAGCCCACCCACAGCATACCAAGATATTAAAATGTACCCACATGCCTTATTAACTAGAACTTATATGTAACAATATAAGAAATGAGTTCAAAGTTTACTTGCGTTTTCCTAATTAGCACAGCACAGATACATAATCCCTTATCTAAAACATTTGGGGCTATATGTGTTTTGGAAGACAGAATTTTTCTGATTTTAAAAACATAATGGATACCTGCATGGTACTTAACCCTTG